CCAATCTTACCACCATTAATTATTACTATACGTCCTATGGTCTATTCGCGATTTAAATTAATTTTCTCATTGTAATAGTGTTTTTGAGTTTAATTTAGTGTTAATTTAAAGCCATATTCGAGCGGTCTCTTTGATTTAAAAATATTTTCAACAACTTTTAGAACCAGTTTTAATACTACGTCATGAATTTTGAAAGCACTCAAATAAATGATTTTAAAACAGTGATGTCACTGTTAAGTTAACGATTTGTGAGTGTGTAATTCTCTAGCAACAGATAATTTTGGCCTTATATGTCAAAGAGAACCTCATGTAATATCAGAATTTTAAAATCCGACTTTAACCAGTTATTTAGAATTACAAGGTCAAGTTTTCAAAAATTCTTAAAAATTATGCATTTTCTATTTTTTCTTATGACCATAATATAAATAATCTTTTTTATCATGAATTTTATTGTCTATGCTATCCTCTTCGATGTTTTTTATTATTTTTGACATTAATGACATTTCTATTTCCTCGAACCGTTCTTAATAAAACGTTTCACAAACAGATGCAGCTGGTTTAAACATAATTTATCGTGACGTCATTGTTTGGTCACTCGAATGGGAATAGTTCAAACCGTTTTCAATTCACATGAAATATATTTAAACCAGTCGACCGCTCGAATATGGCTTAAGTTTAAGTCTAGTGCTTTCGTCATAAATATAATATTTATCATGTGTTTGACTTAATTTATTGGAAATATTCACCTATTGGTTGCTACAAGAACATCTAGAAATATGTATTTACTAAACTAAGGACATGTTTTATTATGTGGTTTAAAGGACATTACAGCTACCAAACGTTTATTATTGATAAACTTATTTAAAAATCTTACTAGATATTATGAAGTGAATTGTGTAGTACTTTGTATACATGTAAATGGTAATAAATCCGTCACAAATCATATTACAGTTTGATTCTAAACAAGTTTTGCAAAATTTCAATATTGTGAATTTGTAGATATCCATTTATCGTAAAAAACAAAATTTTACGACTTGAACTTGGAAAATTTAGTTTTGATTTTGACATTAACACCATTGCAATTTGTTAGGGACTTTTTCGCAGATTTCATTTTTAATATAAACACTATCACATACTATAAGAAATAAATAAAATTTAAAGCTAAAAAAGTAAGAAAAACTCGATTTGTAATTGATACAAATTAAAATGTAAACAACGAACACGAACGCCAGTGTTGCCAAATGATGAACTGATTTTAAAACAAAATTAATAAATGAACTGAAATTAAAAAAAAAAATAAATATAATAAATCAGTTTTATAAAAAAATGCTTAAATAAATATAGAGTATGATTACATCTTACTATACACAAATGATTCTTAAATAAAAGGTCTTATCCACTTCTTCAAGAGCTAAAATCCGACGACGTAGCGAAGTTTTGCTACTTTTGGCAACACTGAACGATATCCTACTTATAGGGATCTTCTACAAATTTCCTCCAGAGGGCGTATCACTTAGCTTGAATCGCGAATGATAGTTCGGTACACACTGAGAATGCAGTATAGCCAGGAATAGGCAATGTATTTCTAATGGGAGACTGGCACACTGTGTTGCCGTCTTTTTGATAGCTGTGACAGGGTCGGCCCAGCTGTAGTATTTAGGTAAAAACTTTTAGTGTTTTAGAAATATATATTATAAACACTGAATTTTTTACCTAAATCTGTACTGAGATCTATATTATGTCACTGTGGACCCCCAATATTTTGCTTGGAAGCCGCCATTGAGCTGAAGATCGGTTGAAACGCCTAGCATTTGAATTTACTACGCAAAGCTCATTTTCGACGGCTGAACTTCTGCCTAATGGCTAGCCTAAGAATTCATATTGTATTCACATATTTAAAGCCCATGAATATTTTATAATTGTCAAAATGTTGACGTTTAATTACTTTAATACCTTTTTTTGGGGTTGGTTCAGTTAATTTCTTATCTTCAACATGAAGTTTAAGAAAATGAAATGCAGACAAATGCTCCATGCGAGTTCGAAAATTGTTATTTAGTCAATGACGATAAATTGAGTGTGACAATTTACACCATCAAGAAAGAGGAGGAACAAAACAATAGCGAATTGAAATCTCCTGCAAGAAGATAAAAGCGGATAAGGCATTCAAATTCTCGCGAATATACATATGATGAGGTTTTAAGAGCTTATTGAGAGGACTTGTGCACAATGATTTTTTTTAAAACATTCCGCCATTTATGAATGCAATTTATAATATTATTCGAGGGAATAAGAATTCACCATCGTTCTTTTTAAGAACCCTATGCAGATTTATGAAAGATATTGGTGTTGAATAATATGTGAAGCAGGATCGTAAAAGTATAATGTTAGAGCGATACGAGATCATTCACTGGCGGCACAGATATTTAGAAGCCATCAAACAATATCGCCAATAAAATTGTAGGGTTATCTATATTTAGATGAGACTTAGGTAAACGTGGGTCTAACAGTTAACTATGCATGATGTGATAACACCATAAAAAATAGAGATGCTTTTATAAAGAGGTTAACCACAGGCTTCAAAGCACCTACACAAAGAGGTCCACGTTTTGTTATTGTTCATGCAGGATATGAAGGTGGATTTTTACCTGGGACCGCGAGTGTATTCTTGGTAAAGAAAAACGATGGCGATTATCATGACGAAATACACGCCGACTATTTTGAGCAATGGTTTGAGGAGTTGCTGATTCCTAACTTACCCAAAAATGGACGAGAACGTTATGAATAACGCTTCGTATCATTCCAGTAAATTTAGTTTTTCAGCTACCTCATGGAACAAACCCGAAATAAATAATAGACTGTTTGAAAAAACATTTTCTTTGAAGACCTCTATTTAAAATATGAGCTGCTTAAAGTTGCCAACGCATACAAATATAAGATTTAGGAAATAGTTGCAAAATACGGGATAACTGTTTTACGTTTACTACCGTATCATTACGAGCTTAACCCGATCGAGATAGTATGGAATCAGGTAAAGCACTATATTGATATGAACAACTTTAAATTAAAGACACAGGATGTTTGTTTGTTCATTTATAGATAAAGCATTTGAACTTATTACTGAAAAAAATTGGCGTAATTGCGATGCATATGTCAGAGAAAAAACGGAAAAATAAATGTGGTTCGATGATAATATCCAAGACTACGTTGATGAACTCATTATAAAAGTAAATTTTGGTGACAGTTGAGAGTGAGTTTTCAGACCTCGACGATGACTTACATTCTATTGCGTACATTCTATTGCGTAAAATTCGTCTATTATTTGTTAACTCATAAATTTGTAATTATGAAATTCATTGTTTATTATTGAATATACAAATTTTGAGATTAAATTTAAATCCGTGTCGAAATTTGCCTAAGACGGGACCTGTTTTTTTGGCCGATCCCGGCAGCTCTGGCAACGGCTGGTAACGGCACGCTTCATTAGACTTCACACTGCATTCTCAGTGTGTCTCGCACTATAGTTGTTAAGTTGTTGGTACGGTTATGAACACAAGAGAGAAGGAGACGAATTGGCAATGGGCAAATTTCAAATTTCGGTCCTTTTTATAAAGTTCGTCAAATTAACTGTAGTAACTTACTAGTTACAGTCTATAAAGTCTTGACTGTACATTTCAAAAAGTGTTGACTGTACATTCTTTAAGTCGGTATAATTTTTTTCTCATATTTACTGCTTAATCAATCCTTCAGTATCAAAGTTAGGCCTTAAATACTTCCATTTGCATCTAACACAAATTTTCTATTTTTTTAGAATTAAGTATATAGTTTCCACATATATATTTTTACTGTTAACGGTATTTATTAGTGTCTACTTCAATTAAATTAATCATTTTACTAAATCGAGACATATAAAAATAAATAAATTTTAAAGTGTCAAAAGTTTGACTTTTTAGAAATGTCATACTATTTAACCTGGTTTACATATGGGGTACACCTGATTAACGTTCGTATTAAATACTGATTGATAATGAAATGAGAAAAAGGGTAAAAAGTCATGAATTACTGACTCTACTTTGAACATTTTTAATAAGTAATTATTAAAATAGTTATTAAACGAAACGCCCAATTTTGAGTTTTATCATTTAGTGGAATAAAATATAGATGTAATAGTTCAAACATAATGGTTAGGTTGGTGCAAACTTGACTTAAGTGATAATACCCATAGGGAACTTATTAGTGTAAGTCAGAGCTGATTGGATATGCTAATACACGTGACTGAAAATGAACGATTTTAATTGGTTTTCTATTGATGCCAGAAATTTTCAAAATAATGTGAAAAAAGTATCAAAGCCAGATTTACTTCGTTCCAGATTGTAAGACGAAATACAAATCAGATGTAAAACTAAAGGAGAAATCAATTTAAGGTCTTTTTAAAGCTCTTAGTGTAAGTAAAATAATGTATTTATTTCTTAATATAATATTTAGTGTAAACTAGTCACAACCCGTATCTTACTTGTTTGTTGAAGCCCAATTTTGTCATAGTAAATGTTTTTTATATGATCCTAAATATTTAGAACAGTGGCAGCATATTATTCCTAGGGCCGCTGAAGCATTTTCTAGAGATAGTGCCATTTGTGAGCTACACTTTTTAGAAAATATTTCCAAATATTATGAGACTCTTTTTACTGATGGTATTGTTAACAAAATTAAAAAGAAAGGCCGAAATTAAAGGATGAAACAATACTATTTACATTACCAAATCTCCCTTTATGCTTGTATAATAACAATGAAAATTCTGCGGTACTTAATTTTGCTCTTAAAACTATATTTAGGCATAATTCAAAAAAATTTAGCCACAAAAATGTACTTACCAAATTTCACCATTTAACAAACTTTTTCGAATTTGGTCATATCTTCCTAATTTGCATTTTATATGGATAAAATTAAATAATTTATCAATTAAAACATGCAAGACTTATTTGTAAATAAATACAATAGTATTTTCTGTGCTTTATTTAACAATAAATAAGTTTATTTTTATTATTTTCACAAAATTATGTCAAATTCCCATAAGAAGTCATGTATTTTTAACAGCGTTAGCAACACCAACGCTCCTGCAATAAATTGTAAAAGCCTAATTAGCGTTCGTTTCGGACCGTATTTTGAATATGCCAATTCGCTTCTTTATATTTAGGTACGTAAACGACGGACCGTTAGTTCGATTCTCACTGCCAAATTTTTAGATACGGAAACTTTTAGAAACAATTTTTTTCAAAATTATTTAGGAACGTACTTGTATTGCTTTCCTAAGATATTTTAAAGCATTTCCCAAATCCATTGATTTAAGTAAGGAACTGCTATTCTACATAATATATAAATTGGCACAATTTGGATAATTTTTTGAAACCAAAACAATCTAGAAACAAGAAGAATAAATATAGTAAGAAAAAACATTTTTTATATCTTACAAACCTATTCAATTTAATTTTAGCTTGTTCCAAACTGCTAAGATCGTCTTTTAAAATATATTGCCTGACTCCCAAATTGAAATTTTTCACGTATTCCTCCCAAGAGAAGCCGTTGCTGTCATCTATGTCGGTTTCAAAATATTTTCCATCAGGAGCTGCGTTTACAGCTTTGATTAAACTGCGCATAGTTGAATCTTCAAAACGCCATTCGTTCGTGGAGAAATGGCTCCCGGCTAGAAGGGCGTCATAGAATTTTTTGCTTATTTTTAGCATTCTAAAAAACATTTATTGTTAAGAAAAATAAATATTAAGTGCGGTATGTTAAAGAAGAAGGAAAAGCATAACGAATTTTGGAAAGATCCAGTGTAAAATGCTGATGAAATTACCAATTAAATATGGCAATAAACGAAGCTGACAGTTTAACTTTTAAAAGCTCAAGTAATTGCATGGTTGGGACACGTAAACAGAATGAGTGAAAAAAGGCCATCAAAGAAAACCAAGTAAAAGATGGATTAATGTAGAAGAAATTTAAGAACGATGGGTACAAGAAACAAAGAGAAATTGGATAGAGTGGAATGGAGAAACATTCTCAAAAAAGCAGAAACACACCAAGGTGTGTGATGCTAGAAGAAAAATTGTATTTCTTGTGTCACAAGAAATTAAATTTTTCATTATCTTATCATGTAATCTTTAGATTATTGTTGGGTTACTCTTCTTTTATTTAAGTTTGTTATACATTTTGGAGGGTTCTTGCTTCATACGTTATTTTTCTCCACCCCTCCTTACTTTTTCATTTTGATTTTTAATTTTTGTATTCCTAGCTTTTTTATATCATCTTCTATATCCTTTCATCATCGGTCATCGGTTTCTCAATGGCCATAGTAGGATTCATTGTGTTATTTTACTTAAAAATTATTTTAGGTTCCTCTTCAGCAGAGCTGGGCAATTCCTAGTTAAAAAGTAAAATTTGTGGAGGAATTGTACTATGTAATTATATTATTTAAATTATTACATTTTCTAATTACAATTACTTTTAAAAACGTTTTTACGATATGCTTCCATCTCATTCGTTTGAATGCATTTGACGAAAGCGCTGTGCCGTGAAAAGAGCCTCAGGGAAGTAAAAGTAAAATTATTGAACCCAAAATAATAACTATAAGATGTAAGTAGATGCGGATACCCTTTTTAAGACGTATTTTGTATTTATATTACAAACATAATTTATGTTATATAAACATTGTAAATTAAGGAAATATAGAATAAAGTAGTGCTTACAGCAGTTTTTATGGGGTTGATTAAACGGCGCCAGACTAATGATGCCCGATTTGTATGGTACGATTATATTATTGTTACATAGGTTTTTTGTATCGCAATTAATTTAAACTCAACTTTTACAACAACTATTCAACTGATAACATTAACATGTAACGTCTATCATAAAACTGAAAACTGACGTCAGGATCTTCAGCTTACATAGCTTGCTTGACTCTTCGCGAACCTTCTCGAAATGTCTATACTCTGTTTTTAAACTAAGAGGAGCGAATTGGAAAGTCCTATTTACACAGGGAAAAATAACTAAAAAAGTAACTAGATATCATTTTAGCGGTAAATTTGAATTTGTCTTGTATCATTTCAAGAAAAACATTTCAAAACTTTGTTATGAATTCATTGAAGTCAAAGTTTTAGATAACCAACGAATAAAGATGACACTAAATTGTGCTCATTCCCTTTTTGATTTATAATTATTGTATTTTAGTTATACTTTTATTTTTTCCTTTCTTCGTCTCATATCGCAGCTCGGACCAGTATGTTGAGAAGAGAATCGCCCAAGCAGCGACCAAATTTCAGTAAATTGAGCAGGCTAGGGGATCTTTAATAGGGAAATGGTTACTCGTGTTGTAGTACTGTGCACCACCCATAGATGGCGCTACTTACACAAAGTTTGCGCATTGCATTCGTCGAACAGATTCAGAGTGTATTCAGAGCAGGTTCAGAGTAACGCAAGTGTACGCAAGTTGTTATTTAAAACTTTCAACAGCTAAAAAAACGCTATTAATGCAGGGCTGGAGATATACCAGCCCTGCTATTAATGGTAATAATGGTAATGGTTGATTTGTTTTATTAGGTTAGTTTTTCGAAGATAATTTTTAAAGCTTTAAACATATATAATTATGGTGCGAATTCGTCCTTGTGCTGATCCAGATTGTCAGGATAAAGTTAGTCGCAGGTAAGGAATACATTTACAATTTTATTTCTTTACAAGTAAAAACTTCTTTTTGTATTTTATTCTTAAATACTTTGCCAAATTTTAAGAGCATATATTATTACTTAAAAGTACCCAATTTGTGAAATAAATTTCCAAAATAATGCGGATAACCTAATGTTTTCTAGGAAAAATTAAAAATCTTAACCTAACTTTTATCATTTTCTATACAATTTCAGTAACTAGATAAAATATGTGAATATTAAGAAGATTGAAATAAATAGTGTTATTAGTATTTTTTTAGAATTATACAATATGTAATGGATACTTTATAGTAGATACCTATATACAATTTTTTTTCCGAATTCAAAATGAGGTACTTTTCAAACATACCAATAATTGTATATTTTATATTGTGCGACTCTTATTATTTTTTGCTCCATATACTGTGACCTACCTCACCTAGGTATCTTCACAATTTATTGATTCCAATTAATAAAAGTTGCATTCTTACTAAATTCAAATTCCTTCATTTTATTGAAAAATCTTTTACGATATATTTTTAAGAAATGCCGATTCATTCTCACTAGCTAATAAATTAATAGCTCAGCTGAATTGACTCAAAACAAAAATAATAAAATTGAACTTTATATTTTTTAACTGATACTCTTCTTCATTTTTTACATGAAAACGAATCAGCAAACACTGCAATAGGAAGTGACAAGTACACCCAACAGCAGCCAGAGCCAACTTTCCCCAGGAACTTTCGTTACAACTTCTTCTGGATACAACCATGGGTGAACTTCGCAATAGTTTTATATTCATATTTCTTTATTATTGTGTACTGTAATAAGAATTCGTGCAATTTTAATTCTAATAATAAAAAATATATGGTTATAATCGTGTTTTACTTCATAATAAGATGTATTTTTTGTTCCATAAATCCAAAATTATAATTTTTCGTTTTCTTTTTAACTTAAAATATTTCAAATTTTATCTATCACAGAACATAACCCAATGGATTATATCCATCTAAGTATGTTGAGTGAAGAATAAAAGGTTTGAATCATTTTAAGTAAAAAAGAACGAAAAATTATAATTTTGAAAACTTAGTAGTGGTTTATTAGAAAGGCCGAGTTTGAAAAACCCGCGCTCATTGACCCCTACCGCCATCTATATAATAAATCTTGAACACATTTTCAATTATTAGTTATCTTCTTTTTTTTTAACTCAACTATTTGCAACCGCTACGGATGGCGCTGAAAGATGAGTAAAATTTTTCACTGTTGAGTGGCCCATCTTTAAAGGGTATGGTCTGTGAAATTGAGTAAAATGTCTCTCAACAAAATACAAAATAATGTACATTTTGAGTTTAACATAGAGTTTTAATTCGATATTTTATTCATTGTTTCATAAGTAACTGTGATTAGAAAATTATATATCTATTATAATAACAGAAAAGAAAGTAAATAGTAGGTTTTTCAATTTGATGGAAAAATTAGAAAAATAAGTATGCCAGTTCTATTTGTTGGAATGAAATTAAGCACCTATTATTACCTACCTATTACAAAACATATTTAGGAGGGACTGAAAAATATGTAGTTGAAGAAAAGCTTATTTAAAATGAAGAATTTTGGCAGGTACAAAAAAATAAAGTTTATTTTTATATTTCTTTATAGGTATAGTTTAATTTGTAATATTTTTTCTTACAATTAAACTACAAGATTACCATTAGTTGTATGGATTTCCTAATTAAATAAGGGTTCTTTCTTTAGGTAAAATGTAGCAAAGTTCTGAAGTACGATAGGATATGTTTGCAGACAAGTGTTTTGAAATGAAATAAATCAAATCTATACGAATTTTGTCTCCACTAACAAGATGATATATTCAACAGTCGAAAGTGTAAACTTGTGGGCAACAGCTTATTAAATGTATGTAGAAGTCCAAGAAAGTGCAATGGTACCAGCTTTTACTATAATAATAATGGTTTTTATCATTCTCCTGTTTTTTTTGTAGATAGGATTTATAATTGTTGCTTAAATTCCACATTGTGTATCAGAATGTCTTTGGTCTTCTTGAAAACATATTTTTATACAATATGAAGCAGATGGTATATTTTTTTGAGACATCCTTCAAGCCTCTCGAAAACTAAATGTAGGTAAGATAATATGTATCTTAATTTTGTATGATAATTTATTGTATAGACAAATAATTAAATAAAAATTATTAAGGCATAAAAAAGGTAATTTGTAACTTTGTGTCAGCAGAAGGATTTCCTACACCCAATTTAATATATTTTTTACAAACAAAAATATCTTTAGTATGATCGGTAGATATTTTTAATAATTCAGCACTACATATGTTTCGAAATCTTCTGGTGCAATCACAGCTTTTTAAAATTTAAAAAAACATTTAGGAAAATAAACACTTTAAAATGATCATGAACGAAACCAATATTTTGTGATAGTGTGTAAGTAGCTTACAACTAGTTGATTAAATTAAAATACACCTTTTACACATTCGCAGATTTTAATGTGTAAGTGTAGTTATAATCTTTGCAGTCTATTTTATAAACTACATTTAGTTGAGTTGCTTTCTTGAGTTTGGGTTTAAAATTTAAAAATAAGGTTTCGTTTATGAGCAATTTTTACAATATATCTAGAGAATATTTTTGACACTTGTTTGGAAAGTCCTTTTACATATAGCAATTTAATGTTTAAAAAAGGGTGCCACACCAAATGTTACAGTGATAACACTTTATGCTTTTGACTATTTAGGTACCAAGCTATTTATTTAAAATAATAAAACAAGGTATTTGTTTTAGGTTAATTAATGAAAGTTTTGGAGGCCACAAATTATGGACATATTCAGATGGCAATAGCACTTTTAAATATATCCAAAATATTTTGTAGTTTTAAATGTTCATTAACAATTTTGTAAATGGTTTATTTTCAAATAAATAAAATTTACTTTATTATTTAGTTATATTTTAATCATTTTGATTAGAAATTCATTAATTTTTTGTTTAAAAAAAAATTAGTAATAAAGTTGTATAAAAAGCATTATTTACG